AGACTATATTCTCCCAGTATTACACAGGCTTGTCTAAATGTTGTGCAGCAAACTTTAAAGGAGCTTCAACATGCTGTCCTTCACTGGTTTGTTATATTTTGCACATTTGCCAAAACACACCACGAATCCAGCCAATGATTCACTTCCTCATGAACTATGAATCAAGTACCAAAGCAGTGATGTAACTTCGTCACTTTCGAAGCTTCGGACGTCACTGATCATGTGACTTTTACCAAACGAATCAAGCTCCGACACAGTGCTTCTGAAACAGTGTGTTGTTTTTTTCAATACATGCGCTGAAGCTTCAGCTTCAAACTGCCCATCACTACTGTTCACAGTCAGCTGTATCCAAGATATGGACCAAATACAAACTGCATGGAATGGTTGTTAAAGCCAAGCATACTGCTAGACCAAGAAAAACACCAAAGCATCAAAACAAACAACTTAAGTCCATTTGTCTTGAAAACAGAAAAAGTACAACTAAACAGATGAAGCATAAATGGGAGGAAGCTGGAGCCAATGTACATGACTGAACCGTAAGAAATCTCTAAAGGAAATGGAATTTCAATACAGGAAAGCTAAAAGAAAACCATCATTGACACCTAAATAAAAAGAACAAGACTGCAATGGACTAAGGAGAGGCAATCATGGACTGTGGATGACTGGATGAAAGTTATCTTCAGTGATGAGCCAAGTATCTGCATTGGACAAGGTGATGATGCTGGAACTTTTGTTTGGTGCCGTTCCAGTGAGATTTATAAAGAGGACTGCCTGAAGAAAACAACCACATTTCTTGACAGTCCTTGATGATATGGAGCTGCATGTCAGACAAATGCACTGGGGAGATGACTGTGGTTCATTCTTCTATCAAAGCACAAGTTTACATTGACATTTTGTGCAGTTTTCTCATCCTTTACAGATGTTTGGAGGTGATGAAATAATTTTCCAACATGACAATGCATCGTGCCATAGGGCAAAAACAGTGAAGGCATTCCTTGGAGAAAGACACATTCGGTCGATGTCATGGCCTGCAAATAGTCCAGATCTC